CGATTAAGGACTCGAAAACTAGTATACTACTTTTTCGGAGACTAGAGAACACTATATATAGAGTTATAGTCTCCGCTACTACTCCTACTATAGATAATTAGCTGCGCGGTAGACTGTCTATACTCGGTATAATTATAGGATTCGAGTACGTAGTAAAACCTTATTGCTTCTATAGAGGTAACGAGGAAGCTCTAGATAGTAGTAGTAGGTTTCGTTTAGTATAGAGTAGATTAGTCGCTAAAGAATTATAGGTCTTATTAGTAACGCGTAGCGGAACCTTATCCTTTAGTATACGAGCTTAGTAGTACTTTAGTATAATTACCTATCTCGTTATATTATATATAATACGTATACTATCTACCGGAGCCTCGCGCCTTAGACCGATATTATAAGAGCTACGAGTAGTATAACTCGTACTATCGATCTGCGCCGACTCTACGTATTAAACGAGACCTAAGTAGTATAAATTATATATTACCTAGAAGTAAAGCTACTATATAGGATACGAAAGAGCTTAGTAACGAAGATTCGTACTAAATATAGAACGTCTTCTAAAGCTCGATATACTCTGCTATATAAGGCTTACTAGAGAGTAGACTAATAGTACTAGAATAAAAGAAAAGCTATATATAAGATTATAATAGCCGAGATCCTATAGAGGTATCGTAAGTAGCGATCTATTATAGATATTACGAGCTAGCTCGAATATCTGCCTATTAGGCGTAATAAGAAGACGCTATTAGAAATCTAGCTATATAGTTAGCTTAGCGAAGAGCAGAATCGTACTATAAAAGCTCTCTTTATCTTTATAATATCTAACTCTATCGAAGAGTATCGACGACGTACGAATACTATAAACGTAGTATTAGTACTAACTAGAAGCTAGAAATTAGTCGAACGGAAGATATACTATATAAAGGTAGCGCGTATTAGTAAGTATAATAGCAATACGAGTATAGATCTTTTAGGCGAAGTAAAAGCGCTATAAGATCCTTATTCTATCGAATATACTCCGATATAATATATATTCTATATCGGCAAGGCAGACCTCTATATTAACGAACGTATAAAGATATTCTATAATCGTAATAGGCTTAAGAGACATTTTTATCGAAAGCATCTATAGTATTATATAAAGGATTAGCCTATTAGCTATTCTTACCTAAAGTACTTTAATATAAAACTTACTAACTCGATATATCTATAAAACTATACTATAATAGTTTATAAGACTAGGACGTAGATATTAGATATAGGATATAAAGAGTAGAGTTTTTAAGGCTACTAACGTTACGATCTAATACGCTTACTACTCGAGTATATAAAGCCGAACTAACTTCGTACTCTATATATCTTTAGTATTCGCGAATCCTCGTACTTTAACTTCTAAGAGCGTAGAAGTCGCTATTCCTTAAATAATACGAATAGTATATCTTCTTCTTCGTCGTACTAAATAGCTAAGAGTCTATAGAACTTAGCTACTATAAGAATACTAACGAGTAAGCGTTATAGATACTAAGTAGTATAAGTCGGCTATATATTTCCGTTAAAGCCTTTATAGAGCTCGCTATATTTTCGTGTTCTATACTATATTAAATCTACGATTCTTTCGCGTCTAAGAAGTTAGTATAAGTAAATCCTATAAATTATATCGACTCGGAGTACTTTCTAGATATAGGTATAAGCCTTTCCTCTTATTTATAGCTATAGTAGCAAGGCTTAGTTTAATCGCAGATAAAGCTAGTTCGAGTACCGTAAGTTCGGCCTTAAGAAACAGCCGATACTTATATAGTTAGTAGTATTCGTTATCGAGAATCGTTCTCTTACGAATACGTATATTTTTTTCTGCCGAGGGCGTTATAGAGAAATCGATTCGATATTCGTATAAAACAAGGCCTAACTATCGGCATTCGTTTTTAAATATAAGGCTCGACGGGTCTACTAAAGGAAAGCACGGTTATTAGTGCTCTTCTAACAGAGTAAAGGCCCGGTGATAGTGTTGTTCCAATAAAGCAAATCACGCTTGTTAGTAATTTTCCAATAAAGCATAATGTAAATGGGTGTTAGTTGGTTGACATTCAATCTGTCTATGCACAGACTCAATATTCTCTGAGGTTCCCTTATAAGCGCTGGCGGAGCGGAGAGATCCCCGTCCACTCTAATAACAGGGTCCAGGCGCGTCTAAACGGGCAAAGGCGGCGAAAATATCTGGTTTTCACTCTCTTCTCCGAGCCGGTCAAAAGAATTGGAGAACACTACGATCAATACTCTGTGAGCACGAGTCCCGGGCGCATTCTTATGGTTTCGGACGACGTGCAGACCGAATTGCACCGGCATCCGTGCGTACTCAACGGAAATGGAAAATTTCCTGAGGGATTGGGATAGAACCCCGCGCGACTAGCTCCTTCTAGCGATCGCAATAGAAGCCTCAAGCAGTCGTTGCACTTCTCTTCGGCACGGAGCACCCCCTCAATCTTCTCACGTCAACTTTGCATGCCAGCCTAATGTACGAGCATCTGCCAGCTTGTACCTCAAGGATCGATGGTGCAGGGAGCGATGTCCTCGAGCGCCAAGAGCGACTGGTTCTGGTTGCCCCCTACGGCTCAGGGCCGCGTTGTCAATTTCGAGTCCGAGACCGTGATCCACCTACCATGTAAGCCCGCAGGTTGTCATGATGACTGTAATCGTCAACCTGATCCGGGTCATCACACTACGCCGGCCATGGTCGATATAATTGTTCGAGGCACCGGGAGTTACAGTCGTACAACGCTTCAGACTCCGTCCCAGCGCTCCTTTGCCCTTGACTACGGATGCTGCTCATGGACAGGGCTGTGCTTGTGTATCCCGTCGCAAAGTGCCCCGAGCCCAGTGATCCAACAGAACACACCCCGTGCGTAGCTCAACGAGCGGTGTTTTCGGCTCCCAAAGCGTATACCGCTATGTCGAGCGCGGAAGCTTGCACGCGAAGGGAAAAGAAGGGATTACGCGCAAGGCAAAAGTTGACCATGTGTTGTCCCTATGTATATGAGCTTGAATCTCGAACAATTTTTATCGGCATCATAAGTGCATTACGACTTCAAAACATGGTGCTGCTCTCGATTAATACGACCCCACCACGCTCGATCTCTCTTCGTAGAGCAGGAACTCACTAAGAAATAAGCTATGCCGACTGCTACGACTACCGCGGTAACACGGTGGCACTAAGTGCGGTGGAAGTCAAATTTTGTGGTAGGGCTTTCCTGCCTCGTTAGTCCGAGCACATGAAGGTCGACAAGGGGTGCCAGTCGGGGGTAGCTTAAACTTTACGTCCGCATGAACTATCTCTTTACGGTTAACGCAGGTCACCGCACTCGTAATAAGAAACCATGTATTATACTTTCGGCACTATACTCTAGGATCTTACTAAGTATAAAAGCAGTTATTCCTAATTCGAGGTATAAGTAAACATTTCGTATATAGTATCGCTACTCCTAGGGAGATAGTTTCCGCCTTACCTATATATCGTAGGTAGGAAGTAAATAAGTAGTATAATATATATAGGACTCTAACGTCGCTTTTATACTTAGGCTATTAGCCTACGAGTCTATACCTAATTATAACTATAAGGAACGGTAGTTATCTTAGATCTATACCTCTCGGTAACGGTTCGTCTAGTATACTCTAGCTCTAGATTTCTAGTCTACTACTAGTTAACGCCCTACTATATTATAACTCCTCGACTTATTCGGACGTTAAAGCTATAGCGTAGAGCTAGACTACGAGACCTAGTAAGCGACTTATAAAGCGATAGCAAGTATAGATAGGTTACTATCCTTTAAGCTACTATTTAACCGGATAGCCTTTCTTATACTTAACCTCTTATTACTATAATCCCTACTATCCGAATAATACTTATAGTACGTACTATTATCCTTAGCCTATAAGTCTACTAATTCGAGAAGACTTAGGCCCGAATCCTCTATACGTAACGCTAAAGTTATTATATAACCCGTATACCGACCCTAATAGTATTAGCTAGATAGTAGAGTATAATAGCGGTAGGTCTTAGAAGGTAACGAAGATTAATAGGAGTATATACTCTCTCTAAGAGACGTCTTTCTTTTTTACTTAGAAGTATAGACCTAAATTACTCTTTAATTAACCTTTTATAGTAGTAGGCAATCTAAGCCTTAATAGTTAGTTTAGCGGCGATAATAATAGTAATTATATTAATAGTAGTAATTAATTCGGCAATCTATATACGAATAATAATAATAATAGTAACGATAGTAACTATAGTAGTAGGGACGACTATATTAATAGCTTAGATTTATTCGGGAACTCTTATAGTAATAAGAATAATAATAATAATAGTAATAGTAGTAATAGTAGTAATTATATAGACGGCTTCGACTCGAATAGGAACGTATACGGCGGGGGCAATAATAATAGTAGTCTAGCTACTACAAATACGAACGTAGGCGCTACTCCGAATATTAGTCTAAATATAAGCCCTGCTATTACGGTAGATCTACGATAACGAGTTTCGGAGTCTTAGTAGGCGAAAGAGTAGATAGAATAGAACCGAGTTTAGAAATTGCTATTATATACTTTTATTTACTTCTGCGAGTATAGAGAACCGCTTTTCGCGACAAGCGTTTCCTTTTAATATATAAAAGCATAACGAACAGTCCGCTCGTTAGATCTACTACGTATCTTTCTACTCTAGATATAGGTACAATTAAATAGAAATCGCGCTTCTCGTCTTTAACGTACTAAGTATTAGAGAGCTCACAATCCTCCTAGCTTAAGGACCGCCAATACACACTACCAAAACCCCACGGGGCCAAGCATAAATTAGTAATTATTAACCTCGGATAGGACAATAGGAGGGCTGCCCTGCTCTGTACCCCTGTTTGATCCTTAACTTGAAACCAGAATAGGGCAACATGAGGGCCAGCTTCACGCTTTCTTAGCGCACTAGTAGAAGGAAGCAATAAAACTTTGTAATGCTTGAATTTTTAGGGAGCTGCCCTGTCGACATCAACGCAATCCCAGCTCTGAATTGAGCCAGAGAAAGGGACCAGAGGATTGGGCGGAACAAGGCTATCCTGGCGTAGGAAGTTGACGAGAGCGGGTTGTGTGTCAGCTTTGGAGTCCACAAACACTCGGTGAGTTCCCTTGGTAGTATTCGCATGCTTGGTCTGCCCTTTGAGGGTGGTAATTCCCTTGTCATTGGTCCCGAATGCCCAAGCAGTGGTATGCGTGAGCTGCCCATACTTTGCTGCGGCCTCCGGAATGAGCACTGTGCCGACTTCACCAAGGTCGAATTCGACTCCATTCAAAGGCGTATCCTCGCGGAGTAGAAGGCACAAATAATCTCCAAGTCCAAGTTCGTTGATGTGAGTGGTCAAATCTTCCACGAACGCTGCTAGGTTGAATTCCAATTTCGGGAGTGGTCCGTGAAAAAATTTGTATGCAACAAGATCACCAACCACGCCGTATGCGACGCGTGTGTACCCAAGTGGGGCGAGGCGATGCTCGAACGAGAGCATGGGTACTGAATGCGAAGATGCGGTTTGTGCCTTCAACCCGCGACTCTGACGGTATTTCTGAAACCGCCCACGGCGGGAGTCCGCGTGATTAGCATCGATGGAGGAGGGGTTGGGGGCGTCGTGCCCTTAGAGTTCCTGCGATTCCTCCAAAACTCGTTTGGAAGCGATTGCACCATCCAAGAGTTCTTCGATCTTGCTTGTGGGACAAGCGCGGGTACGTTTCCTGCACTGCTTACACGCGCAACGCTCACTCGTGGCCAGGCGGACTGATCACCCTCGGCCTATTCGCGAAGCAGTAGCCGCTGGCACAATGTGAAGACACCTTTAGCCGGCTGACGGGCGAAATCTTAAGCGCGGCCTCGCGAGGTTCGTGGTCCGCTGTAGCCGGTCTCCCTACCGAATGCCATACTTCCTTGCTCTCTCATTTCCGTAGAATCCTAGTCCGTGCTATGCTAGTTTAACAACTCCCGAGCTTTCTAATTTTACGTCTACATGGGGGACACACGTGATGCCCACCACTTAATATTAATCGTAGGTTCCAACACTACTGTTTGTCGAACTTTAGCAACGCAGAGATACTTACTCGCTCTACTATCATCCCTTTAAATATCCTCCCGCAATGCGTGCATTCTTAGCACTGACTATTTGTGCTCTTGCGCATCCGCAATCGGTGCGCGGCTCGCCTACTCAACTACTCGATCAGCGTTCAGACGACCATGCTCTCCAGAGCAGAGGCTGGAATCCGTTCACTTGCTTTGGTTGCGGCTGGGCCTTTAGATGCAATCCCTTCGAATGTGGAACAGGATCTGGCTCTCTTCCACATTCTCGTCCACACAGGGGCACTTTCAACTACGACACAGCGCTCAACCGGCGTGCGGTTCACAGGATTGATGACAACGTGACGGTCTACGTTGATCCAAATAGCGACGGGAGCTTAACATTTCACTTTTACCTGTCAGCACTCTTCTCGCTTCACATTACTAACATTGCAGGTGCTGTTCGCATGGGGAACACCGATCCTGCTCGGAATCATCTTGCAAATCCTGAACCATACAGCCACTTCGATATTACTGTTGCAGGGTCTACTGTCAACGCTGCCGCGTTACGGACGTCAAATGGTGTCGTATCCGTAGAGATTATCTACGAGTTGGAAGGAGAGCTCTAAGATACTATTGCGCGACCAACACCCGGTTCTTACGACCCCGGCTTTGAAAGAACCTAGCCTCGACTAGGTTGAAATCACATTGAACAAGTATAATTCATTTACCTATAGATAGATGGATAGATCGAGTTTATTCCGCCCGGCGCTAAGCACCTAAAGGGTACACTACGGATATTACGTTATCAAATTACTTCCTAAAGACTTCCTAAACTCCTAATAGCCTATTTAGTTTGTCCTATCTTAGTCTGTCCTCTTAGTCCTTCTATTATACGTTGCCGGAGACTCGTACTAAGTTAGTATTATATAAGCTCTCTTAAAGTCGCTCCTCTAAGTATCTACTATTCTATCTTTAGCGAGTAAAGCGTATCTTATTAATAGTACGAGGGTACGTTAGGAAAACGGTTAGTAGTAGTAGGTATAGAGTTAGTAGCGTTATGTCCTCTATATATCCTTATTAGCTATAGTCTAGCTAGAGGAAGGTTAGTATAATAAGCTCTTAAGGCGACCTATAGCTATAGCGAACTAGATAGTCGCTAGGACTACGTCTATTACTAGTTTCTACTTCTTATTATCCGATACTACCTTTCCTCTAAGAAAGAAGGAGAGGTTGCCTCTTATAGTATCTATATATTATAGTATCTATATTCGGAGATTATCCTATAGATAGTACCGGAATAAGAAATGCTCGACGGTTTTACTTACTTATATATATATATACTAGTCTAATTCTATAGCTCCTATCTAGTAGAAGTAGCTATTTAGTCGTAATATTCCGGTCCGGAGCTATACTAATACGCTCGCTTATTTGCTTCTAAGGCGATCGTATAG